TCCAATGTGCTCCGTCATGGTTTCCTTACACCATGTCATGGTTCCAAAAAAAGAACGGGCCAGTTAGAGTAGTGTGTGGTTCTTGGAACCCAAAAAGACGCTTTAAAAAGGAGCGCAAGCCAAACAAAAACAAACAACATGCCGCCTGGCATGTCACGTCACCACCCCAGCAGCTGTTCCCATCACGAGTCGCAGTATGCAGTTGAATCAACGGATCTTTCAGAGTTTTCGGATGTGTTGACAATTTCCCAGTTAGAATCTAAGAGGACCGGAACCAGCCCTGTCCTATCATGTCCGACAATTGGTCAGCAGGTCCGAGCCTGCCCCCGGGAGTTGAGCAAAGGCCCTCCGCTATTCCTGGATGCTCTGGGTCTCTCTGATTCCCCAATGTGTGATCAGCAATGTGTTGTTCATCTTAACTCTTGGCACAATTGTTGGCTAATTAATTGGAATGGGACGTTGGGACCAGATTGAACTCAAGTCATCTATGTTAGACTTAGTGCTGGACCCAGGGTTGATGGATGCATCTGTCTGGATGGCACCCTGGATGGGCCGGCCGCCCACACTCCTCAAATTCCGCTGCAGAGTGCAGACTGGACACGGGCGCCAAGCAACAGGCTATGCATTGCTATGCTACTACCACCACCCTTGTTAGCACTGTCCGGCGCGGCCTAGCACCTCTATGCTGCCCAGTCACTGGATTGTTCGACCAACACCAGACACGATGCCCTGGACACAGAATTGGGATGGAAACAAAATGAAACAAAAAGCTACTGGTAGCTAAAGGCATCGCTACTAGTAACCAAGGGCATTACTACTAGTAGCAAAAAGCTACTAGGAGCAAAGGGCATCGCTACTAAGAGCAAGGACGCTACTAGGGGCTCCTGGCCTTACTACTAGGAGCAAGAAGCTACTAGTAGCAAGGGCATTACTACTAGTAGCAAGAAAGCATCGTCGCACGTCTCCGATCTTCCCCGCGGTCGAAAGCGCATCCTGAAATGCCCAGGTCTCTCACCTTTGTGAGGGTGTGGTCCAAGCCAAACCTCGCATGCTGACAGAAGGATCACCCAAAGCATCCCAGAGCAGGCTGCATGCAGAAGGGCCCAGAAGGTCCAAGGGTGACCCTTCAGAGTGCCAAGGCGCGGATTTCCGATGGCATACACTTCTTGGCCCACCCGCAAGCCCGCTGACGTGCCTCCAAAGTGATCAAATGTCCATGAGAAGGTAGTGAGTGATTCGGCTGGTGCCTCGCTGTAAAGGCCGCAACATTGCTTTGCGCTGGGCTGGAAGATCTACCTCAACATGAGCACATGGCTGCTGGAAGGTTCGTTCTTGTGCTTGTCAGATCCCATAATTCTCATGTCTTTCTGCCCCTGAGGCCTGAAGAACAGCAACATCGCTGTATTCGTCTGCACCTATGACTTTTGCCACCACCTGCGCTGTTTCGTTGCACTCAAGTGGCGAAAAGGACGCCAAATATATACATCTCTAAGAATGTTTAGCTCAACGTATGTAGGCCATGTAATTAGGTGAAAGCAAGGAAAATTGAGGGTCATTACAGTCATTACGGCATGGTACTATATACTCATACTCAGTATTTGTTAATACGTATTGCGTATGCATTGGAATGCGAAGTTGCTACGTACATGGAAGCAGCAAGTACAAACAGGCGTTGCTCACGAAAGACCCGACCTGCCTCAGTTCCCTCAATGAACTTGACCGTTACAAAGCTGGCCTTCCTGGCAAACACACATGCGACTTTGACCGGCAAGTTGTTGAGGACGAAGAATGCTATACCATGCCAGGACACTCTATGACGTGGTAGTTCGTGATAATGTGCCCCTCATTGTCAAAGACCTTCATAACAGCATGACCTTCAATTTGCCCAGCAAAGTGCCGAAATCTTGGGCAGCAGCCCAGCCACTGCCAGTTCCAGTAGGCACAGCCTGAACCGGTGGCCCCATGAATCACCCCTGCAAAGAAGAAGTTCCATCCTACGCTTGCGGTTTTAGCGTGACATCATGATACCCCCGCCCAGTGATATGTTGCCTCCACCTCCATCTTCTGTGTGTTTGCCAGCTTGAACACCTGAAACATGAGCTTGGTGAACTCCTGCTTGCTCAGCCATGTTCAACTACCTCATTCGTGACAAAAACGACTCCAGGAGTGCTCTTCTGGAACCTCAGCGCTTCAATGAGCTTCATTCACTGAATCCAAGGGAAAGAACGAACAGCTCAGAAACAAACAAATCCACTGTGACGGATTCTTCTGGATTGAGGTCCTCGAAGGCCTACAGGGAACTCAAATGAACAAAGTGTAGCAGAACGTTCAGAAACACCCATCGCCTGTGCTACTGGCTCCAGCCCCTGACAGCTCATTCATGCCGCTCTTGGGGTGATTTGTTGCTATGCGCGCATTCTTGAGAAAGCCCGACATCTCCGATGGAGAAATTTGACTGGACACCTGCTTGGCTGATGCTCTGCTCTCTTCTCGCACCTGCATCGGCGCGATACCTACGATGAAGGCGCAGACTGCCGCCAAGAATGGCCACAGCCTGGCAGAACCACGAGCGACCCCACGGACGGGCGAGGCCTGGCGAGTCGCTGCGCCGAGGCCTTTCATCGCTCTTGGTGCGCTCCTGTGACGGTGATGGCAGTGACTTCGAGAGGGGCTTCAACATGCTCCTCACCACGGAACTCCAAGCACGTTGGGTGTGCTCTATGTGTCAGCCATGTTCAGCCAGGTGCTTCCAAATGCTTTGCGTGTCTTGCATCGCTTCTGCAGCGCAGAGCCCTGCCTTTTCTTTAATTCTCAACTTCGTTGGGCACACAAATCCTTCTCCGCATACAGCCAGAGTGCACTCTTGCACTTGGCGAGGTCATGTTCAAGTGTTCTAAATATACATATTATATATATATATGTGTGTGTGTTGTTAAAATTCTACAAAGTTGTAGATGGTCTTGGACGTTATTTTTTTAAGGTTCTTTTTAAGTTATAGATGGTCTTGGACACAAGTTGCTTGATTAACCAGTGAAGTGCAGCACTTCACTGGATTCACCATATTTGGAAAGGACCATGACGGACCTCTTGAACATGTGAGGCAGACACGTCAACACGCGTCCTCCTTGAAGCCGGACGCCCCGGTGACGGCACAACAGCGCCATTTGGACAATCTCACAATGAAGATTGCACCATGGACCCTCACAAAGGCTCCAGACTCCCTTACGGCAAATCCATGAAATGCCAAAGGCCTAATATAGACAACTGTATGGAAAACCATGGCGCACTCAGTCATCTTGCTCTGCTCTGTGAGCACCTGGGTTCACAGCAGCATGGCTCCGAAGTCACAAAGCGAAATACAAACATGCTATATAAATAGATCTATATACAGCATATCACTGACAGTGACGGTCAATTTTTTGTGGAGTAAGTGTATTATCGTTTTTCATGTCCCTCATGTTATTGCTTTTGGTGAGAGTGTTGCCGTTTTTGAGCGAAACATTAATATTGAAATCCCATGACCACTCACTGACCATGGGTCACTTTCACCAATATTGAGTTTAGCTCATAAGAAATTAAAGGTTGCACATGTAGGACGGTGCAGTGTCGGGTGTTTGTATCCCAGTGCTGCTTCTGCTGAGTAGCCATTCTCCAGCGACTGAACATCACTATCAGAGAGGAGGGGAGGAGAATGAGACTCCTCCTGCTGCGCATCGGTGTTCACTGGCCCAGCACAAGTCACATATTATTAGGGGCCTGTCCTCATCAACATCTGCAACTTCCTGCTCAAGATCCTGCAGCACAAGTTTTGCAACAAGCGAACGCTAGTCAGTAGACTTCCAATAGGCATGTTTCAATTGTTTCGACAGTGCCTTGCTGAACGGATTGAAGCCGTCTTGGGGCTCATCCAAGTCGTCCATGCTGGCAACATTGGATGCCTAGGCCAACGTCACAAGATTCCAACAATTCGAGGTCCACAAAAGTCAACAAGCTTGCAACAAAAAGCAGAAACTTCCAACTGATCCCTGGTTCTGTCCATCATGACAGCCACCGGCAATACCCATGCTCAGTCCAGTGGCCGCAAGGGTGCTCGTGGTCGCAACTTCTGGGCTACCATCAGTGCCTGACGGTGCTGGCAGAGTCAAATTAATTGACTCTTTCCAGGTTCAGCCAACCATGGCACTCCGTTGGATTGCGAACATTCAACTGCATTAGAAACGGAAATCACGGAAATCATAGGCAACATTGTTGGCCCGCCAGGTGGTATCGTCGGAACATGTTACAGTAAGCGAACACACACAAAATGGGACTCCATGTGTCTGTTTTGGAGACATCGAAGGTGAAACGACTTGGATGTCTCAAAATGTCCAACAGCTTATCCCGAGGGCCTTTAGCAACTGACGATGGGCTGCCCACGGACCGAGCCTCAGTGTTCCAGGAATCCAGAGAGGCCTTTCTTTCTTTCTTTTGGAAACCGAAAAAAGAACTGCCGCCACTGCTGGGTCCTTTGGAACCAAGAAGACATATGCCTCAGTTGTTTGACCTGCTTTCTCAAGATCAGAAGTTCAAGTGGCTCCAAGGGGGGCTAAGGGGCAATTGTGTCCAACACAGGCCGCAAGGTCAAAGGGAACAACACTACTACCGTAGAGTGACAGAATATACAAAATCGCATGAAAGGTGACTAGGCGGACGTTTCTCAGATTTGTAAAAGGACCTCGGCGAGAAGAATTAAAGCAAGCTAACCACCCGACCCATGCATAAATATCAGACTAATAAAGCTGGTGCTGTAAACAAACATATATATATATATCTACAGTATGTGCAAAGTTTATACTATTTTGTGTATCCATCGCTAAAATTACATTTAATTCCTTTATGGCTTTTCAACAACAAGTTTACCAAATTTGAATGAATATGCATAATAGCAACGTATTATATATGTAACATTACGGTAGGTGTTGGCTTGCATACGTAGCCTTGGTCTCCTTTGCTGCAGCCAAGTCTCAGCAGCCTCTGCAGCATCTGGTGCACCAAGCAGCTGCGCATCCAAATGTGCACAAGCCAAGGCTGTAATGCGTAGCACTTTTTGTGGATCCAGGGTCCAAAGCAAGTGGGATAAAGATACAGTGGATAAAGCAAGTAATCATAGTATAATAGCAATTACCTACCATCAACACATTCGATTGTCCTCAAGCGACAAAACTCTTCCAGGCCTGCAACGCCGCAGCGGTCAGTGCCGGGGACATTTCTTTGCGGTTGAGGCAGCCAGACAACTTCTGAAACCAACCTCAGGACTCGGTTGCAGCCGTGACACTGTCCATGGACAGTCCAAGCATCACTGTGGCCGAACGAACCCGGCTGCGGTGCAAACACCACACCTGGTCCCTGCGCCCACAGTGCGCACGGAGGCGATCTCGTCTGAGTGGGTGGCTGTTCAGGCGGGCAGAGGTGCCTGGCATGACGGGCCTCTATACTGGGTGTGTACTGTGTATAGCATGTTGTCCTCTGTCAAGATACCACACACTTGCTGATGAAATTTGCCGCAACAGGACTATCCCCAGCAGTATTCATCACACCCCAATTCACACCAGAGCCTGGCAAGTGGAGCGACGAGGCAAAACTTGCATTGCCGAAGACTTCCCGATATGCGGTACCAAGCCTCACTTCCACAAAGCACAAGATCATCAAACGACAGCCTTGCGTCACACCTCTTTGCCGCCTATGTGGATGACTTCATCAGGAACCAAGACTGTGAAGGCCCGGACAAAGTTCAATGGGTTCAAGTTGAAAGCCGATAAGGGGAGGTGTCTATGTGGGGCAGCAGGCCTAGAAGATGTGACCCAATCGGATCTCCCTTCCCAGCTTTCCCTGATGAGCCGGGGGGGAGAGAGGCGACCTTGCCTCAGGCCATCGTGGGAGAACTTCTAGGAGTCCAAGAATATGCCCGGCGCCTCTTGGGACACTGTCAACATGACCCCGCATTCTGGGCCAATTATTCTTTAAAAAAATGGCGGCCCCAGAAGATCTACCCGGAGGAGATCCATCTGCTATATGAGGCTGCAAATCGGACCTCCCTCAGGTTGACCGGCGCAGCGATCCTGGCCACTTAGAACGCCTTCCATTTGGCGCCCATTCCAATGGGCTTCGTGGGAAGATCTGCCACCAGACTCCGTCCCGGCACATGCCTCACCTTCCATCAGCCCTCGAAGGGCATGAGCTCGAAGTCAAAGGTGTCTCGTCCTCCAAGGTCCATCTGGCACCTCCAAGATCCTTAGCCCAGCCTGGTTATCACCATGATCCAGTGGCCTGCAGCTCATTTCCCTCCAGGATGTTCACCACCGCTGCCAACGAATCACCCATAGTCATAGCCTCCCTGTACCCCCTGTACCCCAGGATCTCCGCCTGAGCACTGGACAGCGTGCAAAATGCCTGCTGTCTCGATTCCCACTGAACAGGCTCACCTCCATAGAGGCCGGCTGTGGGAGCTAGCTGGGCGATGCACTGGGCTGCCAGTGCAGGTTCAAGAAAACGAGCCTGGGGGCCGACAAGAAATGACGAAGATCCACTGTATGGACTACAAGATCATGCGAGGGGAGATGAACCCGCCTGCCATTCGTGCACTGGCTCGGAGGGAGAACCCTTCAAGATGAAGGAGAATGCGAGTCTTCCAGCGAACCTACCAACGAGTGCATATGGAGCCATTTGGGAGCGACTGAAGCTGTCCCTAGGAGGGGTGGCTATGATGCCGATGAGCTTCGCAGCACAGCTGGAGCTCGAGGACGGGATACATTGCAGTCCAATGTAAACCTTGGCCCCAATTGGGCGGAGCCTCCAGGAGGGAGCGAGACAACCAATAGAGACGCTTATCGGGTCAACTGAATCTGCCTTGGCCCCATGAAGGGATGTCCCTGAGCGTGAGGTCACGTAGCAACGGTGCAGCCCAGAAAGGCCCCTTCAACTTGTCGACGGGAACCATGGAGGGATGCGGGGCTTAGGCCTGTGAGGATCAACTCAACTGTCTGGTCGGATTCAGAGATTGAAGAATCGGACAGTGAATTTGAATGATTGTTTGGATGGCTGACGGAGAAAAAAACCTCCGGAAGCCATGAAATGCTCCTCAATGGAGCAGGGGGAGTGTGGTAAGCATGGCCCCTAAGATCGCACAAATCGAGAAGTGCATTTGGCTCAAGAAAAGAGCACGCCGAGTGCGAACCGCAAAATCAAATGCCTTTTTGACAAATCCAATCTTCTACAAAGCTGCGAGAGATTTCTGAGGCTAGAGCGAACGCTTCACCGGGTCGTGAAGGCCCTACAGTAGGTGAGCTTTTGTTTCAGCATGCGCTCTACTGCAAAGCTTCGGATGTCTCAAACTGTCTCGCCCGACCGCTTCTGGCCTCTCGCAAATGGCACAATCGCCGAAGAGAGCGCCATGAAAGGTAAGGCGAATGCCTGAGTGCCAGGTCCTGCATTTGAGTCCTGTATGGGGTCCGATCTGGGAAGTCTGGGAACAAAGGTCTGTTTCCTGAGCTTGCAGGCCAGTTTCCTGGCTCAGCCAGCGCACACTTCACCTGGGCAAGGCGATTCACCTTTCCAAGCCTGCACTGCCTATTGCAATGCTGCTGGTCCTGCCAAATGCATACAAGTGGCATCATAGAACATGTGCCCATCTACCTGGCAATTTGGTGCCACCTCAATTGCCTGGAGCCTATATGCCATTTTAGGCGTCTTCAGGGCTTGCACGCATTGGCCGAGGTGCTTTGGTATGGCCACACACATGAAGCGTCAAAGCTGGCAGGTCTTTCCATTGAAACCATTCGGATGCACTCTTGGCCTGCACAAACTCTTTGACACTTTGAGCACTGAAGCTCTGGGACACTGGTCTAGAGCCGACCCCGCACATGCACCCTCTGGGGGCGCGTGTAAATTCTTGTGAGCAGTGCATTCAACAAAATATCCTGCCTTATAGCCGTACTGTGCCAAGAATCCCGGAACATCACTCTCCGCAATCACATCTGGCAAGTCATGCAAGAGCACTTTCGTCTCATTTCCAGCAACCACCTGAGACAAGCTGTGCACCGGTTTGGGCTTTCCAAAAGGGCTGTGCACCGTTCAATGCACCGTTCCAACTGGCAGCCTTGAGCTCCATCTCATGGCTCAATTCCAGCATCCCCCCTCGAGAGGTACAAAATGCTAAGTATCGTGCAACAATGTTTGTTGTAGGCTGGACTCCGTGACGTTGGTCCACAACATATAGAATATATAATGTAGAATGTGTATATGTGTATGCATGTGTATGTGTATAAATATATATATATATATGTGTGTGTATATATGTAAATAAAAAACACAACATATATATATATGTTAATCTTATTATATAATTACATATTATTTTATCGTGAGTCTTTAGAAATTCAAGTGCTGGGCGTGGCCCGAACATGTCAGGCTGAGTCAGGCTGAATGACTTGAATGCTTGCTACTGCCTGGAGGTTTCCTTGAGCCACTACTGCGAAGGGAGGGCTTCTTGAGAGCTGGCCAATAGTGCAAAATTGTTGAAGGCAAAGCGGCAAACCAAGGCCAGCAGCTTGGGTTTGTCCTTGGGCGAGGTTGTAGCCTGGGCGCCTCTTCAGGAAACGGCCAAGTGCAAATTATAAGTGCACAAAATGGTGCACAGTGATTCCAGGTGCCTCTTTGCAGGAGCCTGTGAAACTCACAGGCCGGCCTAAGAGGGTGGTCCAAACGTCCAGCTCAAAGTGCAGCCGGGAACATGACAAACTACGCATCTTGGGAGTGACAAGAAGCTACTAGATTGGAGGCCATTCCTACTAGTAACAAAGACGCTACTAGTAGATCCTGGCATTACTACTAGTACCATCAAGCTACTAGGTTGGAGGCCATCGCTACTAGGTTGGAGGCCATTCCCACTAGTAACAAGGATGCTACTAGTAGCTCCTGGCATTACTACTATTAAGAAGCTACTACGTTGGAGGCCATCGCTACTGGGCCGGAGGCCATTCCAACTAGCAACAAGGACGCTACTTGTAGCTCCTGGCAATACTTCTGGTTGGAGGCATCGCTCCTAGGTTAGAGGCCATTCCTACTAGTAACAAGGACCTGGCATTACTAGCAAGAAGCTACTAGGTTGGAGGCCGCCGCTACTAGGTAACAAGGACGCTACTAGGGTGGAGGCCATCGCTATTAGGTTGGAGGCCATCACTACTAGTAACAAGAAGTAGCTCCTGGCATTACTACTAGTAGCAAGACGCTACTACATTGGAGGCCATCGCTACTAGGTTGGAGGCCATTCCTGCTAGTAACAAGGACGCTACTAGTAGCTCCTGGCATTACTACTAGTAGCACTACTACGTTGGAGGCCATCGCTATTAGGTTGCAGGCCATCACTACTAGTAACAAGAAGTAGCACCTGGCATTACTACTAGTAGCAAGAAGCTACTACGTTGGAGGCCATCGCTACTAGGTTGGAGGCCATTCCTACTAGTAACAAGGACGCTACTAGTAGCTCCTGGCATTGCCTGTTGAGGCCCACGCCATGAGAAAAGAGTACGATGATCACGGCCAAGGTGGCCACGTGGAAGAGAACGAGGGCCCTGGAACTGGAAACCACGCGTTCTTTTTCCGCGAATGGTGTGGCACCGGCTGAGCACCGCACCAACCGCGCGGCTTCATGGCCCGACCAAACCACCAAGAATGACCTATATAAAATTCTAAAGTTAAAAACTGGAGCCAAGTCAGTCAGCAAGTCAAACTGGTGAGATGCTCCGGGAAAAGCACAACAAAAGGGAAGCAATAAAGTCAGAAAGAACGTGGGTCCAACTCTCTTCAGAAGTGGAAAAGGGCAACGACTGTCTGTTGGCCATGCTGTCCCACTCGCTTTATGCTCTTGTCGCTCTGACGGGGTTACACTCTTGAAATGCTCTTATAGATGATGGACGGCCCACCCCTGAGGTCGTGGGCAGAAGAGGTGGAAACTTGGGGCCAAGTGTTCCACTTAAAACCAAACAGCAAAACGCCGGGGACACACGTCGGATCTGTCGGGGACACATGTCTCTGACTGTAATTTCAAAGCTGAAGAGCAAAACGGTCTCGATCGAGGGTGGTGAATGATGCTGTAGGTGACACTGTTCAAAAAGAGACCTAATGTCAATTATGCAGTGCAGCTCAAGCCTTGTCATTAACAACTGCTGCATACAGACTGGGATATACAACCCCGCCGGACGGAGGAAAAATTACTAAGAGAACAAGTACAAACAAACTATGATGCAGGCACTTCTTCTGATGTTCCACAATCATCCAATATCGGCAATGCTGCATATATCGGTGTTTCTCCTTTGGGTGCCACAACGTCCAAGCGCGTCTGGCACTGCGAAAAAGACCTGCGCAACATCACCATGCAAAGCCGATCTCTTGAAACGAGCTGCGTTGCAAGTTCGATCACCAGATTCCCCCGAAACATCACCAACACGCGCTTGGGTCTCCACACATCCAACCGCCTCGCGCGGGCATCTGTCGATGCGTTGAGCTGCACAGAGCATGACTCGTCGATGTGCGTCGATCCAAGAGATCAGAGTCGAATTGTGGTTCCGAGCAACTACGTTGCAATGCCCGAAACGAGTGGCATAGTGGTACCCCTTTGTCATCGAAGAACTACCGCTGAAATCCAAAACAAACCAAATCAAACCAACATGTTCCACCGAAATCAAATGAGTTCAGTTTCCATTTACCTTTGAAGGACTGCTCTTGGTGCTTCGGATGCCCTGGGCCTTTGCCACCACATCAAGATCATTCAAGCCAATTTTTTGAATACTGTCAAGTTCTAAGGGCAATCAAACAGAATGTGCAAATACCTAAACACCAAATCCTTATTGTAGAGAAGGGCTTTCTGGGCAGCACATAATGTTCAAATACGGCCCAAAAAATGTTTCAGCACACGGTCCATCCCTGAGCTTTGCTTGGAAGTCGCGTTGAAAGAACTATGACTATGAGCTGCTGTCAATTCAACTTATATTATAAATGGCTCAAGTCTTGCAGGACAAATCAAAAAAGGACCATAACAAAAAAGTTTCTTACGTTATTATGATATTATGCACCAATGGCACAACATGTTCGAATATGCAGCCTCTCTCATAACCAAGATCGCTATCCAACGTGTCATTTTTGCATGTGCGAACCACCGGAGGACAGTAAAAAGAACCATAAATAACCATAATATACTATAAAATAAGCTATTTACAGTTTATATATACCATACTTTGCCTCCAGAAACATCAACCATATCATTTCACAATGTGATTCAGTTACTGATTCTTGACTTCGTTTGTAGGGAGCAACTTGCAAATCTCGATCACTCCGCCGTGGCTCCTGCACCATTTTCTCAGAGCTCATCGATAACCTGAACCCATTTGAACGATCGTCATTGAAATCTTTGCAATGCAGCTGGCGGACCCCGGGCTCAGTGAACCTTGTGGCTGTCCACTAGATTCTACATGATTCTACACAGTTTCCAAGCTGTTGCGGTCGACATGTGTCCGGAAAGCTCCTTACAAACAAGAGGCTTTGATCGGCACATCCTGCACATCTTCTTGCTCCAGCTTGCATCTAAGAACCTGCACATGCACTAGGCAAAAACAGCAACCTGCAAAGTCGATGTCGGAACAGTGTTCAGCTGTAGAAACCGGTATACATATGTTCCATTATATAGATTGCCCATTCTTATGACCAACCAGCCGCGCTGCTGAACCCTAGGACCTGGACTAGACCTCGAAGCCTTGAAAACATGCCGTCATTGGGGGGAGCGGGAGGACAATGAAATTGCTCGATCTTCCCCCGTTGGGCCTCGTCTTTCTGCCTGCCACAGTTCTCCGCAATGATTTGTTGTTTGGAAATGTTCGGAAAGCTTGCACATCTTCTCCGCTGGCGTGTGAATAGTAGGCCCCTCTAATTTACAAAGCGTTGGCTCTGTGAAGGAGAAGAGCCAACGCTATGCAACACGTGCCAGCCGTTCTCGCAGGAGTTCGTTGAGACACCCACAGGCAGCTTCACCTTTTCAAAGCAAAGAACCCCTCCTACATCGCCCCTGGAGTCATAGTAGGACTGCATCAAATGCAGTCCGAGCCTTGCTGATGGGAGCAACTGATGTGGATGTGGCCTCAAAGCATGGTCGAAAAGTTGCACATGCAGTGGTTTGAAGGCAGACTTTTGCGGTTTAAAAAAATATAAGGTGGTTTGTCTTTGTCCACCTTGACTCGAGGTGTTGTGTTGATGTCTTTAACTTTGATCTTTGGGTGCAACTTTGCTCCATTGAAGCCTGACCTCGTTGGAGGGTTTTGAGCTGTCACCTGTGCCACAACAAATCCCGAAAAGGTCTACAAAACAAAACATGCTGAGTTGGCCCTAGAACTCCACAATGCTCTGCTTCTGCCCCGGCCTTCTTCTCTGGAGGCATTATAAACCAAAACCTCCGCCAATAAAGCCAGGCTGCAAGCTATAATTTGGGAGCACCAAAATGGAGCAACCCCTCTGGCGGCACCTCATTTCCATTCGCTGTCGCTTTGGTGCCCTTAGCATCTTCAATTCCAACAGCCCGAAACACCACGTTGACAAAGCTAAAATCCAACCGGCCCTGCTATGAAGCGTGCCTTGGGCATGACTACTTCAATGGAAGGTTCACCTACACGGGTACTTTGTCAAAACGCTGTCAATGCCTAAAGAACACAATATGCAGGTGTTCGGGCCCCTTGAACAGGGCCTTATTAGAGGGGCCCTTACCCTCTTGTATACTGTCCTTGACTTTTGCTTGTAGGTTTGACAAGCACTTGCATTGCATACTTTCCAAGAGTCAACAGCTCGATTGCCTTCCTTCTCGCCCGCAAGCTTCCAATATAACTGTCCTGCCAGGCAGGACAAAGATGACGCATATCGCATGCGACCCAGAACCCGACGCTCAATCTAAATCTTTAGTCAACGGCCAAAGCCCATTCCAACCCTCTCTCTGCAGAAGTCCTGGGGGAGCTTGTGCTTGTGAGGCATTTACCTGGAGACTTTACAACATTGCAGCTCTTTAAGTTGAGGAAGCTATTTGCAAAGTCCCATGTTGATGCATGGGTCCCTTCTAGTGGGCCCGCTGAGAACCAATAACAAAAGCTCTGAGAGCAGAGCTGGTTTTTCATCTGTGGCATCTGTGGTATCTGTAGAACTGGCGTTCCTTGTGCAAGGGTTTCTGTTGCCCGTGGTGATCTCTTGCCTTGAATAGCCCTCACAGTTTCTCCATGTTTCTCAGAAGCAAGCTGCACACCGATCTTGTATACCTGAGATGGCATTGGCACTCTGCGGAAAGCAGGACTCCAGAACATCACAAACGTTTATGTCTGCTAGGCTTGGGCTTGGGACGGCAAACCGCTTTTCACCTTCAGCACACCCAGCGCTAGGGAAGCCTCGCTCAGCCTCCCAAACAAAAGAACTCTGAGAAAGCAGTCTGAAAAATAACTGGCAATCTTTTTCAGATCCTTGGAATCCCGTGATTGTTCCTCAAAATGCAGTGATTTGAAACCATCCCAGGTGTCTTTTCTTGGAACCACTGCTTGCCTCGTTGGCGCAGCCACACCATCGCTCATCATCATCTTGGCAAGGTGAACCGCACCCATCGTAGACGCCCCACTGCGGCACCTCAGACCAAATCAGGACCCTCCTCCGGCCACCTGTCAAAAGGCCTATACTCTAAGTAGGAATGCTGTGCATTGAAACAGCACTCTCTCAGACTCTCTCGCTATCTCGGCCGTTTTAAGAAGGCACGTGAGTCGTAAACGAGGTCGCCTCATTCTGGTGCAAGAAACCATGCGCGGTAAAGGCATGCCCGAGGGGAACCTAAAATCACAAGCACAAAGACGATCAGCACAAGAACTGCGCGGCTGGCAATTTTAGCTCCTCATAGCTCCTCTGAAGCCGCGACGGAATGCCTTGCCATTGCAAAGTATTGCACCTTAGCTTCCCTTAATCCCAGTCCCAGTGAAATGATGCGATCACTGTAACATGGTGCGCACAGGAAAGAAAAAAGACAACATCAGGGTAAGAATTCAGCTTCCCGACAAGGCTTTGATGGGTGAAACTATTTTGTACTTCGCGATGTGCCAATTTGTGCTGCATGGAGACATCTGCGTGACAGCTCAATCATGCTCAATCAGTTGCTACACAACCTCACATTCTAGATTTTTTGTGAACACCCAGTACTCCCAAATCGAGCTGTCTGCCGGGAAGGGATTATTGGAAACAGCATCGCAAATGCAAGATCCACCGAGATTGGCACATGGTCATTTTGTGCGTGCCAGTACCTTTCAAGCTTGGGTTGGAGGCCATGGCCGTCGCTTTCAAATTAATTCGGTTGGAGGCCATCGCACTTAGGGTGGAGGACATCGCTAGCAGCTAGCAGGTTAAAGATGTTAAAGCAACTCTGCGGAGCCATCCCTATTCCGGGCACATGGCCGCAAAATTCGCGGCATTGGAATCCCCATAGTACTTCAACCGCACCTGAACCAGCGGGAGCGAACTTCGGTCAACGCAGCGCTTGCCCACGGTCGTTATGAAACAAAAACGAACGACGAAAGGATCAGTTCGACGACGGCGACTCTTCTCCGGCACGCGTTGCGTTACTATGGGCGGCGCGCACCTTCTCCAGCTGGGACTCTGCGAAGCAGCCAACCAAATTCACCACAGCATCCTGGACAATGCCATGACTGGACAATGCCATGAACACGAGCTGGAGCAACAACATGCAAACACGCTCTCTAAGTCGGATTTGTTGTATTTTGTTTTTGACAGCATGTCGCTCCAGCAATTTTTTGTGGAAGAGCACCAAGTTTCAAAGTGTCTGGATAAAACAGTCCCCAAACAGAACGAAAAGGTTAATAACAGCATATAAAAGCCATAAACATCCATAAAACTATAAACTGCTATGTCTTGAGCTTGTACCACGTAGACAGGGCTCTCTTCATGCCGTCCTCGGGTACATGGCTAACCGCTGGAAGCTGATTCCTGGCACTTTGGCCCGCTTCATTCGAGCTGGCACCGCTTTGATGTGTGAGTGGCCTGGGATGCATTTGTTCCAGCTCGCCCATGACCTCGAGGGAAACACAACTCATCACATCTAAACGCCAAGATCAACTCGCCTGCCCGAGCACGGCTTCCAAGCCTAGGCTTCTGCAAATATTTGCAAGTTCTATTTAAAAAACAAAACGTCTTTCTCCTCCGATTTGGCGAATCTTTTAATGCCATGATATGCCATGTCTGGTAACATTGGTCTGGTTTCCGCTATGGAACCCATGGGTCTGCGAGCACGGAGGAAACCTTGAGGCAAAGCCTGGCATAGGAAACTCAAAAAGGTGAGCGGCCACAAAGGCGGCGGCGACCCAGTAGTCAAGAACAAAGTGACTAGTCCAAGAGTGAGTTATGTTAAATTTGTTAAGTATTCGCATGATTCCGAAGGCTCACTAGTATTCGCATGGGCTGGCAGCTCGGAAGAGTCCACGCAAGCTGTGGCACAGCTTTTTTCCACAAATGGGCAGGTGTCGACACCAAGTGCTCGCGAGCACGGCAGCACGGGTGCCTCAGTTGACACCAGAGGCACGAAGTTGTTCCCCAAATCAGCGCTGAGCCAAGCACGACGTCACGTTTTTACATCTCTTTACTCTGCCACCTGCACCATCTGCAGCCAAAAGGAAGGAAGTCTTGGACAGCAGTTCGTGGCAATTCAAAACGATATTTGTTCGACATTCGTCCAGTGTCACTGAATTGACGCGGCTGCCACTGCCTTTGAATCTTCCGCCTTTGCTGGTTCCTCTGCTGCTTCCTCTACTTCAGCTTCCTGTGGATCCGGTGTGCACGCGCCCACGATAGCGCATTTGGGGGAGGCAACTGTTTCAGATGTTTTTCATGTGTTTTCCTGTCAGGGAATGAAGACTACATCTGTTCTAGATGAGCGATCAACATCCGTCAATCAACATGAATTGAATGTTTTGGTTCTTTTGTACCAGGCCTCTGCTGGCTGCTCTGGCTCTGGGACCTGCCGCAAATCAATAATGACGCAAAAAAATGCAAGTGGCATCCCTAAATCCGATCTCCACTGCGTGAACTAAATGCATGGGTTCATGGGTGGTGACATTTGATTCAGACTTCTCTCTTTCATCATCTGCCTCTGGGTCCTCCTGCACCTGGCGGAGGAAGAACGGCAAAATGATTTACACAACCAAAATGATGTTATGTTACTAGTAGCTTCTTGTTACTAGTAGCGATGGCCTCCAACCTAATAGCGATGGCCTCCACCTAATAGCGATGGCCTCCACCTAATAGCGATGGCCTCCACCTAATAGCGTCCTTGCTGCTAAACATCTTCCAACCAAGATCGGGGGGGGGACCTCAGCAGATTCCTCCTCAGGTGCCTCGGATCACGTGAGTCTTCAGCATAGCCAGCAGGGTCTGCTGTTTACTGGACTGTGAGGAAGAGGGGAAACAAACCACTGAATAGTGAAACAAACCGCAAATGGTTTTCTTAATGCCTGCCATGGAACACGAATGTTGGTATGACTCGATAAAAAGATATCATAAGAATGCCAGAATGCAATAATATATATAATGAACTGAACTGCACGGCACAAGATCACGTGATGTTCAATCTCTCTGAACCACAGCCAAGCTTCGTCGGCCTCAGCATTTCCCGGAGAATCCAAATCCACCGCCGAGCGTGGAATGAAAACGGGGGCCTCGACAAGGGTGGCTGACGTTCACAGCTCCAGTGATGTCTAACACTGGTGGACTGTCACTGTAGGGGCTCCATGAGCATCCAAACACCAGAACAACCTATATACAATATGATACTGTCAACAATATTAGTCACATCAGGTGACTGGAAAACTGTTAATCTGCAAGGGGGGGCCCGATGCGACGGGGTCACATCAGGGTCACATCAGGTTCCTGTTTACAAGGCGCTTTAGTGTTTGAACAATGTTTTGGTTTTATGCAAAATTATTCCATTTCCTTTACGGACGCAGCAGCAGTAGGCATTTACACCAGCAGCACACCAGCAGCAGCAGCTACCACCACCACCACCACAACAACAACAACACCAGCAGCAGCAGCAGCAGCACCAGCAGCAGCAGCAACAGCAACAGCAACAGCAACAGCAATAGCAGCAGCACACCAGCAGGAGCTAACAAGCAGCAGCAGC